CTGCCTTTCTCTATTATTTGTTCTCCACCTGGCTTTTTAGGTCTCTGGGTGTGTTCTTTGCTGCAGTGATCACATCTTCCACCTTGCTGCTGGTCATCCTCTTTGTCTCTTTCCTTCCACTTTTCTCACATTAGAAGCTTCTTAAGGGAGCTGATTTTCTCATGATGTGTCCAAAATATGACAGTCACCCAGAGTCACCTTGTGTGAGATGGGAAGCTATATAAATATGATAAATAGATAGACAGACAGACAGACAGACAGACAGACAGACAGTCAGTCAGTCAGTCAGTCAGTCAGTCAGTCAGTCAGTCAGTCAGTCAGTCAGTCAGAGTCTGGTCATTTGTGCCTCAAGCAATAATGCTGAACTGATTTGTTTTCTGGGTTGTCCATGTTATTCTCAAGTCTTCTCCAACACCAAAGTTCAAAAGCGTCAAAACTCTTCCCGTATTCCCATCTTTACCATCTTCTTCTCATTAGGATATGTTATCCATTACTTAATTTTATTCTACCAAAATCTTCCTTCCATATTGCCACCCCAGCACCCCTTTTTTCAGCCAGTATGCCCCTTCTACTTTCTCCTACAAATAGTGCTTTCTGGCAGCTAATGATGTCACTTTGGGGCCTTAAACAATGTCTGCCAGCAAACAAAGCTTAGCTTGTAAAAATAATCAGCTTTCCTTAAAACTATAACTAGCGATTTAACCTGTTGCATTCACAAAACATTAAAAAAAAAATCAATCTGTGAAACCTGGCTCCTGGATAACATGACTGTCAGATTCAGCTGGCATGGCATGGCATGGCATGGCACCGCAAAGCGGTGCTCAGCCGCACCTAGTCAATTTCACAGCCTGGGCGCTAGCTGAGGAAAAGGGGAAGTGAAAACCGCGAACTGATTATGGCCAGGTGGCGACGCTTAACTCAAAACCGCAAGCGGATACTTTGTATCAGCGCCGGCTGCCCTCGAGCGCTGCAGACAAAGGGGAGTGCAACGGATTGGAAGGGAAGCAATCAGCACGTGATTGAGAACTCACAGCTTTACGCGCAACAGGAAAACCCAACAAAGACAACAACCGCACAACCCATAGACGGCAATCAAGAACACAAAAGAACCGGACTGAATCTGCCATTTGGGCAAGGGGGGATTACTGCGGGTACTCTGTAACCAAGCAACGGGGAAAAGCACGGGAACGGGGAAACTGTAAAATACAATTGTAAGATGTGCCAAGCCAACCCTGGCTTTGTCTGTACTTACTTACGTTACGCTTGAGTAAACTTCTTTGC